GGGGGGGGGGGGCACTTTACCTTGATATCTCTCGCTCGCTGCGCATCAAACATAGCTTTCTGATCTAAATCTAGATCTGGATCACTTTCTCTGATCTGGATCTGGATTTAGATCTAGAATCAAGATCTATATTTCTAGATCTAGATTTAGATCTAGATCTAGATAGGTCCAATTAAGCGGGGTGGGAGCTACTGAAAAAGCGCCCAGTTTCCTTGTTATTCCACACGGACATTAGTGCAATAGTAGGGCTGTCCCACGGAAAACCGGAATTTGACTGTAATTTGAAAACTATTCAATATTTTCACATTCTGTAAACGCACACTTGTAAAACAATCATTTAGAAATTTCCCGATTGAGCACCATGAGCATCGCACAAACCAAACGAGCACAGCAGTTCTCAAAAGAAGGCTACCCCCTTGGAAAATTGGTCAAGGGTAGAAGTGAGGTCTGTCATTCGGTTTCTGACCGCAAAAGGTCTCAAACCTCTAGAAATACACACTGAAATAAAGTCAGTTTATGGGGAGAAAGTAATGGCAAAGTCACAGGTATATGAGTGATGTAGTAAGTTCAAAGCCGGGCACTCCGATATCAATGACAAAGTTTACCCAGGATCTTGTTTTTCTGCCAAGACTGAGGACAACAAGAGTCGCGTTAACGAACTTATTCAAACAGACAGGCGCCTAAAAATTCGCGAAATTTGCGAGTCGCTAAACATTTCAAAGTCGACTGTCTATATGATAGAGTTTGATGAGCTGCACTATTGAAAGGTCTCTGCTTGATGGGTTGGGGCCGAAAAAGACCAGCGGGTCATTTTGCAGCATGGCAACACAACGCCACACACCGCAAACGTCACGAAAGACCGGTTCCAAAGGTTCGGCTAGGAAGTTCTACTACATCCCCCCCCCCCCCACAGTCCTGACTTGGCCCTGTCAGATTATCACCTTTTTGAACCAATGAAACTGAAACGCCATATTTCTGGACAGCGATTCACCGACGACGAAGTCCTCGAGGAAGCCGTGAACGATTGGTTGAAATCCCTTGACGAAAGATTCTTCAGGGAGGGTGTCTTCTCCCATATCCAGCGATGGGAAAAATGTGTCCAGCGGGATGGTGATTACATTGAGAAATAAAAAACACGTTGAGGTATGATGTGTTACAGTTTTATCATAATAGGACAAAGATTTTTGCTTTTACGGACCTTTTCCGGTTTTCCGTGGGACAGCCCTCGTAAAACTGGTAGCCCGTAGACAACAACAAAAAATTAACATAAACAGCACCGTCTAGCTAGATCTAGCCTAGATGAAACAATGGTGTGTAGCCCTCAGCTGACTCCACCAACACATCTCGGCAGTACACTACACACACACCACGCGGTGCATTTTTTTGCCTTCACTTTTGAAAGTGAAGGGGCGGGCGAATGGTAATTCAAAAGCAAACACACAAACATAATTTAACTTGGTAATCCGGTATTAAATTGCGTTCCCCGCGTGAATTTGACTAATTTTGGGTCGCTGATCACGAAAATCTTATTATTTTGTTTGATTTGATGAATATTTTGGAAATTTTTGGAATGTATTTTCAACTACGCCTGGGGTAACATCAAAGAAGCCGCTCCCCCGTCGTCACCCCTTCGGTTTGCCGGCCGGCAAATATCTGGCGTCGCCAGATATCTGGTGGTTGGACGGATAACCCTTGGATATCGAGTTTTCACTAGTGATGGGTCGATACCACAATTCAGGTATCGATACCAATACCTCGATACCTAATGCCAATGATAGTACATAACAAGATGGTTCACTCAGCCAAAAAAGTGTCCGCAGGAAGTATGCTCTTTGCTTCAGATGGCGCTGCGGTCTGTTTTGAAGCTCTATTTCGTTTTTCCAGAAGAAGAATAGGAATAGCACCTCCTTGCGTGCGCAGATCGACTGCTGTTCATCAGCAGTTCGGGTACGTTCAGTGCGTAGTTTTAGGGTTTTTTTTATTTTAATGACCTCTCGCCTTTCATTCTCAAGTCAAATTAAACGAAGAAAACCATCACCCTTTCCTCCGGAAAAGGTTTTTTGTCAGCGTAACCATTAAAAAAAAGCGTTCTTCCGAAATTTATCCCAAAACATGCTAGTTTCACTTTGATTTTTGAAAACTCAAGTAGGGTAACTCTGTTCGCAAAGTGCGCTTTTGTGAAGAGGGCGCCACCAAATTTTGAGGACACTTTTTTAATTGGCTCAAAGAGAGAAGTGGCCCATCTTGTTATGTACTATCATTGCTAATAATGCCTAATGTTATTAGTAATATCAAAGATAGTGAATAACAAGATGGGCCACTCAGCCAAAAAAGTGTCCGCAGGAAGTATGCTCTTTGCTTCAGATGGCGCTGCAGTCTGTTTTGAATCTCTCTTTCGTTTTTCCAGAAGAAGAATAGGAATAGCACCTCCTTGCGTGCGCAGATCGACTGCTGTTCATCAGCAGTTCGGGTACGTTCAGTGCGGAGTTTTAGGTTTTTTTTATTTTAATGACCTCTCTCCTTTCATTCTAAAGTCAAATTAAACGAAGAAAACCATCACCCTTTCCTCTGGTAGAGTTTTTTTGTCAGCGTAACCATTTTAAAAAAGCGTTCTTCCGAAATTTATCCCAAAACTTGCTAGTTTCACTTTGATTTTTAAAAACTCAAGTAGGGTAACTCTGTTCGCAAAGAGAGCGCTTTTGTGAAGAGGGCGCCACCAAATTTTGAGGACACTTTTTTAATTGGCTCAAAGCACAGAATTCTACACTTGTGGCTCAAAGAGAGAAGTGGCCCATCTTGTTATGTACTATCATTGGTAATATACGCCGGGGGTAATAGGTATATATATAAAGACAAAAATACAAGTATACTTTTCCAAGTATTTAGGTAATCGTGTCTAGACAAGTTGTGACTATTTAGCTGAGACTCAAACAAAAATTATTTGTAAAAAAGAGAGAGAGAGAAATAAATACCCAAATATGAGAATAAAAACTAAAACTAAGTGAATTATGGGAGGAAAGTCAACTTTGCAGAAAATGTTAGTATTGGAAAATAAAAACACAAGAGTTCTAAAAACGCAATTCAATTTACCAGAATTTTAGCAACTTTAAATTAAACCATTGAGGATAAATCAGGGTTGTCAGTGAGGATTTTGCAAAATCACTAGATAGATTTCATGAAAATCTTCTTTCTTTTTGTTAAAAAATCACTAGATACATTTAAAACGCTTGCCCCATACGAAAACTCATCAGTTTTGATAAACAAAAAATTCTCAAGGCCCAAGTCACTTGCTTTGATGGGGCTTAAGTGTAAATCTATGGCCGTTGGTGACCAGAGATTTGATTTAATTCTACATTTTGTAGACTTTCTATGGGAGCTGGCAACTGGCAACCTTGGATCGGCCGTTTTGGCGTTCATAAACAAACAAAATTCGACAGCTACAGTCACTGTCGTCACTGTCACAGTCACTCAAACTCAAAACATTGCCTTTGATATTGACAGTCATCTGTGTGGGCGTGGAGAGAGGACGACACACGCGTGCACACACTGCACAAAGCTACTTCACACTTAACTCAGTTCCTTTGTATCAACGCTTGGAGGAGCTGATGTCAGCAAGGGATAGGCTAGGTCGAGGAGTGCGCCTCTTTGCGGAACAGACGTCTTTCCTTTTCGTGGCGTATTTCTTTCTCGAACTCCACTCAAAGGAGGAAGGTAAGTGTTTTGTTTTGGGTGTCCTTTTTTGGATTGAAGAAGTTGGACCACATGTTTTCGGTAACATTTCGGATTTCCTAGATCTAAATCTAGATCTAGATTAGATCTAGATCTAGATCTATATATCTAGATCTATATATCTAGATCTAGATCTAGATTCTAGATCTAAATCATACAGACCCGGTAACCGGGAACAAAGTCACAAAGTATACAGACCCGGTAGGGGAACTCTTTTGTGATTTCGGAGAGTTTCAGCGCCCTCTTGGCTCAGGGTAGACCTAGGTTCTTCTAGATCTATGGTCTAGATCTAGATCTAGGCAGACATAAAAATTTGATCTAGTTTCGCGGCTAGCCTAGATCTAGATAGAGATCTAAATGAAGATTGCGGATGTCTTTTCGATGAACGATTGTTTTTCCTCCGTTTTGGAGTTGGAGGAACGCTTTGAAGTAAAGAACAATGTCATAATTTCAATCGAGCAGTCACCCTCTCTATTTCTCTGCCCCCCCCCCTCTCTCTCTCTCTCTCTCTCTCTCTCTCTCTCTCTCTCTCTCTCTCTCTCTCTCTCTGTACCACTCGCCTTCTCTTTTTCTTTGTTTGTCTCTGTATTTCTTTGTCCCCACCTATTTCCCACTCTATCTTTTTCTCGTGCCAACTGGGGCATGTCACATTTTGCTAGCACCCCTCTCTCTCTCTCTCTCTCTCTCTCTCTCTCTCACACACACACACACACACTCACGCACACACTCTCTAGATTTCTACCTTGTCTGGGCGCTGAAACTTCCCGAAATCACAAACGCAGTGGCTACGTTCACGGCGCCGTGAACGTAGTCTGCAGGCTAGGTTCACGGCGCCGTGAATGTAGTTGGCAGGCTACGTTCACGGCGCCCTGAATGCAGTTTGCAGGCGCTGTTGAGGCTACATTCACGGCACTCAAGCTTCGTTTAGACGGAGCGTCCACTGCCGGTTTTAGTCAGTGACTACTGTGACGTATATTTAATATTTTGGCCAGCTTCAAATGTTCCATTCCATGAGATGAAGGAAAACGTAAAAGCCTGGGAACCGACATAGAGAGAAAATGACGGGAATAATTCTTATCATAATAGCAAACACCCTCTCTCTCTCTCTCTTTCTGTCTGTCTCTCCCCTTTCTCTTTCCTTCTCTCTTTCTCCCCCCCCCCCTCTCTATTTTCTCTGTCTTTGTCTGTCTGTCTGTCTCCCCGCCCTTCTCTCTCCCTCGCTCTTTCTCTCTCTCTCCCCTCTCTCCCTCTCTCTTTCTCTCTCCCCCCCCCAACCTTCTCTCTCCCCCCCCCAACCTTCTCTCTCCCCTTCTCTCTCTCCCCTTCTCTCTCTCCCCTTCTCTCTCTCCCCCAACCTTCTCTCTCTCTGCCTCTCTCTCTCTCTCT